AAATATTTTTCTTCCCCCCCCCCCCCCCCCGAAATAATATGATAAGAGAACGAATGATAGCAATTGAATCACATTTCTCGTGGGATTGATCCTAACCTTTGTTAGGTTCTATATTTGAATAATGATTGTTTTATACTTCTTTTGGGAGGTGTAATTTAAACGTAACAAATTTTTGTGTTGTTTCCAGAGAATACGGATTTTGAATTAGGTTCATTATTTTATTTGACTATTAGTCATTATTTCCTGATTTAGTTTTTTTATTATTTTTATTTTAGTAGGTTGAGCACTAGTGCATGACAAATACATGGAGTCAAAGCAAATATTTTAGTAGGTTAGAGTGAAGAGCATATATGATCTAGTTTTTTAACAGCAGGGGCATTAATGTCCCAAAATATGATGAAGGGTATCTGCAGTACCATTTATAATAATTCGGAGATATATTTATCCTTTCTTCCTATAATAATTATTTATCTAGTTAACTAAAAGGAAAAAGTAAAATAGGAGGAAATTTTATTTTGTCTTTGACTTAATATTCCAAGCAAGACAATAATCAGGTCCACAATGGGGGCAGACGCATTACTTCTTCTTGGTTAACTGGTGAGTCTGACATAAATGTATCTTTGGTCAATGATCTATCTATCTTCCAGACTCATTCCTTAGTTGTTAATTGGCTTTTATTATAGTTATTATATTATTATAATTTATTTTATTTGCTTGGGCACTTTCTAAAGTCTTTGAAATGTTTTTCTGTAAATTGCATGTTTTCTTCAAACTTTGTACTTTCCAAGTCAATGCCATACCCACACTAGTGGACTCCCACAGTTGCTTGTGATGATAGTTAGGTCATTTATGTAATGGTAGCATATATGTGAGTTATTTTTATAACGAGGAATATATTAGTTTTAAATCGTAAAATTAAAAAAGGTACATTTGACTCTTTTTTCATTCATTGCATCAGATTTTGTATTTTTAGAGAAGTCATAAATTATCTTTCATGATCATACTCGCTCTATTATTCTCTCTCAGAAATAGAGAATTTTTTCATCTCGAATTATCAATAAAAAAATTGTGTTATAAATTATAAGTTTTTATTCATTTCGCACCGAATTAATTCACTAAGAAAACGTTTCGCAAAAACAAATTCTCGCTAAAATATTGAGAAATTTCCTAATATTTTCGTGTGAAAACATAACTATTTTTTCTCATTGATTCTATCAAAATATATATGAAAGTAGTCACTGAACATTTTGCACTCATAAAATAGTAATTTTTGAGTAGTGACTTTCTATTTTAGACATTTTGAAGAGTTCTTCGTTTTAATTACTTTAAAGAATTTAATTTGTTTATACTCCAAATAAAATGTAAATTTTTTACATCATCATATCATTTAAATTTAAAATACATAAATATCTACAAGTAATTGACCCTAATAAGAAAAATAGCTACTTGAAAAATAATGAGGCAAACAACCTAGTACTACATACAACAGGTTAAATTATACTATTAAAATAAACATTCTTTATCCGACTTACTATTTATTCGAGTCAATATCTCAAAAAGTTACTCAACTTTAATAATTTATGTAGTAAAGTCATTAAACTTTGTTTTATATTAACAAAATCACTCAACTTAGGCATTGATATTAATAAAATCACTCAACTCAATATGTCAGTATTCTTCAGCTGCGAAATTTGTCGGTATTCTTCAACTAGTTTGTCGTTAAAAAGCTCTTCGCTAATTACATTTCTTACAATCCATCGGTAATCAGTAGCTAAATAGGGATTAACATGATTATTATTTTTATAATAACAAAATTTTATCTGTTGCTAATTCCTTATTCGCTAGTAGTTAATGTTTTCTTTCTCTGTATTTTTACTATTAATATTTTAACTTCATGTTTAGTCAAACACAATGATAATTAACATGATTTTTTTTGTTATAATAATAAAATTTTATGTGTCGCTAATTCCTTATTTACTAGTAGTGAATGTTTTCTTTCTCTATATTTCTTACTATTAACATTTTAACTTCATGTTCAGTCAAACACAATCATATATTATAATAAACAACTACTTACTGTAAATTAAACATGACCCAATTATACATTAGTAATCTCATTAACAATTCCAATATCTGTCAAATACAAACATAAAGTCACTAATTAGTCATTCTTTGACTTATTTGCTAAGTTACAAAGGAAAATACAATTATATATAGTATGCTAGGATCAATGAGGTTGACCAAGCAACTATATATACCATTTCATTTTCCTTCTACTTTGTCCCTATAAACAAAGTTCATTTCATTTTTATTTTCTTTGGGTAATCAATAGTTATTTACATAAAATATATATGATATTTGTTGCTCCATGCAAGTAGTTGAGAGTAATTAGGATGAATAGAGTGAAAAAAGGGCAAGAAAAGAGTGAAATTATTGAAGAAATGGCAGATGAAATTAAAACTATGTCCAAAGAAGGCAATGAAGAAGATGTAATTCTTCCAGGATTTCGATTTCATCCAACTGATGAAGAGCTTGTTGGGTTTTATCTACGACGCAAAGTCGAAAACAAAAGAATCAACATGGAACTCATCAAACACATTGATATTTACAAATATGATCCTTGGGATCTTCCAAGTAAGTGTATAAGCATTTGATCACTACAAATAATATCACTCCAAATTAGCTTTGTCGTTAATCCATTGCTAAATTTCTCATAGGTAGCTAGCTAACAATTCTTTTTGTTGTTGATAAATTAGTGATGAATTTTGTTGTTTAGTGCTACAGAGTTTATATGTCGCTAATTCTAGCTCTTTTAATAATACCTAGTACATGTTGTTGGTGGGAGGTGTAAGATATCACATGAAGTTAGTCGAGATATGCTCAAGCTGACCCAAATACTATGATCATAATCTCTTTTAGTTATTTACGTTATGATCTAGGTAATATAGAAGTTTCCAAGGAAACAAAAAGAAAATTGTGGATAGCCCAAATCCCATTTAAATTACCTCCTCCCTCTTAGTAAATTTTTGTGAGTGTTGTTAATTTGGATCTCATAAGTCATAAGTATATTTTATATTAGGAAACAATATTAATTTTTCCTCATAATTTGCGTAAGGATTACACATTATGAGAGATGTTGA